GTCTCGTTTTTTTCAGATCTACAAAATCTAAAGATCCATTAGTGTGGCAAGAAATTTGCCTTGTGCCTGGTTTACGCAGTAGAGAAAGGGAGAGATTGCTCGGATTGTGCAGTAGATCCGTCGCACTGGCCACTGGGGTCTGTTTGGTGCGGCGATGTGTTCCGACAGTTCCGTAGCTTGGGGTTTGTTTGGTGCGGCAAGCAATCAGTTGTTGTGAAGGATTGGGCTTTAGGGGCATTTTGGACAAATTGTAGACAAAGTCAACTTCCACTAAAAATGGAGAATAGTCAAATCGGGAACTTAAAATTCGGACGGAGGGAGTATGAATGAAAAACACTTTAATTATATATAAATTAAAATAAGATAAATACGTTAGTGCAACAAAAATTGGCCTTTTTCACCAAAATCTACAACAAAAATTTTAGATTCATAATCGATCTTCTTGTCACATTCATTCATGTTGCAAGAATGTTCTTTATAACATTAAAACTAATTCCAAATTATTTATTTTATACTACTACATAGCATAAACCAACGTGTACATGCCTCTAATGTGGTGAAATAGATACAAATAGATTTGGAAGCCACAAAACCAGCAAAGAAAATGAGTAGTGAAGAAGAGAGGTAGGGTTTTGTAATATTTAATATTATGTACGTAATATATATTTAACCAGTACAAGTTTTAAACGGGTCAGGACTACTCATCCTATACCCAACCCTTTATTTTTATAGAATAATGGGTACGGGTTCGGGTACAGGCAAACGATATTTTTTATACTCCTAAACCCGCTAAAAAATTACGGGTATTATACGAGTTCGGGTTTATATATACCCGACCCATTGACAGGCCTAACCGCTACACACCCAACCCGATACCTCACACTTATCTTGTGAACAACCGGTCATCCATGTCCACACAGAATCCTTGCCTCTTTCCCCACAACCTGCCATCCCAACCGAACACCATTCCCCATCCCCATCACCCGTCCCCATTAATGTACTTTGTTCCACTCACCCCATGACAACCTGTGCCAAAAGTGGTATCTTAAAATCCAGACTTTTTTCTATCTCTCTCCACTCCACACTCTCTATTTCTGAGCTCGTGTCATTTAAAGAAGCCTCCAAATATGAGGTTTGGCGCCATGCTATGGATGAGGAATATAATGCCTTGATTAAACAAAATACATGGGTTTTTGTTCCCATGCATTTGGGTTGATCTCTGATTGGGTGTAAGTGGGTCTACAAAGTGAAGCATAATGCTGACGGTTCTGTTTCACGCTATAAAGCGTGCTTGGTGAAAAAGGGATATACTCAAGAGGATGTGTTGGATTACTTTGAGACATTCAGTCATGTGGTTAAGCTGTAGACTATTTGTATTGTTTTTAGTCTTGCTCTTCATTATAATTGGTCGCTTCGTCAGCTGGATGTATCTAATGCTTTCTTGCATGGTGAACTTGACAAAAAAATTTATATGGCTCAACGTCCTGGATATGTTGATCCCAGGTTTCCTAAGCATGTTTGTAAACTTGTCAAGTCTCTTTATGGTCTGAAACAGGCTCCCAGGGCTTGGTATGAATGTCTCTCTGCCTTTCTATGTGCAGTTGGGTTCCGCAACAACTAGCATGACACTAGCCTTTTTATCTATCGTCTACCTGCACGTATGCTGATATTGCTTTTTTATGTTGATGATATTATTGCTACTGGCAGCTCCTTTGTTCTAGTTCAGGAGTTTATCACTAGGATGTGTGGTGAGTTTCTGTTGGGCGGTGCTCCTTGGACCACACTGCAAGAAGGAGAGCAAATCCCATTCTAAGTGGGATTGCTCTTGATTTGTTTCCTTGTTCATATTTAGTGATTTGTTTCCTTGTAGGAATAGAATTCCTTTTGTGTTTTGGTCTTTATCCTCTCCTATAAATAAAGGAGAAACCCCTTGTACTTGGTAGAACAATTCAATATACAGAATATTTACCCTCTTATTATTTTCTTCAGTTTCAGAAAAAATATTTGGGCCCGCTTGATTATTTTCTTGGTTTGGAAGTCTCTCGTGTGACCTCTTCTATTGTTGTTTTCCAAAAAAAGTATGCTATGGAGCTTATTCATCACACTAGCCTTGAAGTCTGCAAGCCCGTTTTGTCACCCTTACCGGTCTTTCGTGGTACCACCGTGGGTAGGGGGTGATCTATTTCCTGATCCCACTTTCTTTCGAGGTGTTGTTGGAGGACTTCAGTACCTTACTACTACACGGCCGAACATTCAATTTACTGTGAACTATGTGTGTTAGCGTATGAATAATTCTATAGAGGATGATTTCCAAAGCTTAAAACGGATTCTACAGTATGTTAAAGGAACACTTTTCAGAGGACTAGTTTTTCATTTTGGTGACTTACAGCTACAAGCTTATTCTGAGTCTAACTGGGCAAATGACATGACTGATGGGTGTTTCGTCATAGGCTATCTTGTTTAGCTTGGGCCAAATCTGATCTCATGGAACATGGAAAAACAAACTCGTGTGTCTAAGTCTTCTATGGAAGCTGAGTATCGAGCTCTCTCGTCTGTCGCCTCTAAGGTTATGTATCTTACCTATATTCTCCATGACCTCCGTGTACCAGTCTCACCTCCACAGCTTATTTGCAATAATCAATCCGCTATTTGTCTCACTAAGAACTCAGTCTTCCATAAGCGTATGAAGCACGTAGGTACTGATTTCACTTTGTTCGTGAACAAGTTATTGCTGTATTAGAGAGAGTATCAAGGTTAAGTTTCTTCTCAAGTTGAAGATCAATTCTTCATACAATAGTCACAATGAAATAGTATAATATTGAATGAAAGATTAAGAAATTAAATTTGTTTAAATATTCTATTTGAGAGATGCATACAACTGAGGGATCGAAGACCAAAAGAGATACTAAAAATAATATCTTGTTCAGGTACTAATTCTCTGTCAAGGGCAAGAGAAGTGACAATATTGAGAGCACCATCAAGCTAAGATTGGCTTGCATACTCAAAATAATATCTTATTCAGGTACTAATTCTCTGTCAAGGGCAAGAGAAGTGACAATATTGAGAGCACCATCAAGCTAAGATTGGTTTGCATACTTGATTGTCCTTTTCAGAGATTATGAAGTTGTTCCTTCAGTTAAAAAATTTGAGCGCGTGATGGAGAATTATACCATTGATGAAGTTGATCCCACATATAAGAGGTGGTGGAACATATGTGAACAAAATTTTGAAATTTTGGAGAGAGTAGAGCTAGAAGAAAAGCATGCAACTAAGCGTCAATAATTGTCCATTGGTCATAAGCAAGGTCATAATCGGTTCTTTTTCTGAACCAGTCGTGGATTTTTTGTCAAGTATGGTCGGCGGTGGTGCCGCTTCTCTACCATCGACATATCCGAAGAGTCAATGAGCTTGAAGGTTGTCCTCACAGTGGAAGACTAAGATAGATAATTGTTGTCGTCATCCAACTTGGTCAGGGACGAGAGAATGAAGATTGCAGAGAAATAAGCACAAACCACCAGGGAGTGTGTCGAACGGATCTCTTCCGCCCTTTGCCATGTTGATCACAGGATGCGATGATGAAGAGAAAAAAATACTGGCTAAAGGTGACGAAGAAATCGACACAAATCGCCGGTAAAGAAAAGACGTGCGATCGGGAGAAGGAGAAGATGACCGACTAGGTTTTAGGGGAAAAAATGTGGCTCCGACACCATATTGAATAATGGAATAGTCATAGTACTTAAAGAATAATTAAGTGTACAATGAAGTCTAACTAAGAGATATTCATATCCTACCATAAACAGGAATAGAGAGTTAACTAATAATCCAACACAATCATAAATATTACTCTCCCCGTCCCAAATTAAATTGTTTAGTTACTATATTCCCAAGTTCAAACTTCATTCACTTTTTTTCTTTTTATTACGGTAGTCATTTGATAAAAGAAAAAAATAGTCATGTTACCCCTAGTTTTGTAGATCTTCTGATGTAGTGTTTTAATATGTAATTTTTATTTTTTAACTTTACCCAATTTTTCAGTTAAAATAATTTGAAAATAATTTCAGTTAAATATCCTAAACCGAAACAAACAATAAAAATTTGGAGAGAGGGAGTATTATTGTTATTATTTCCTAACATGATATATTATACTCTCTCCGTGCCTGAAAACCTTTCTCCTTTTTTTTTTCATCCGTCCTAAAGAACACTTTTTTTTTTCTATTAAAAAGTCACTTTTACCCCTTACTTTTTCATACCTTACCTATCATATCATACCTTTTTATTAATAATCTACCTATCAAATCCTACTTTTACCAATGGCATCAAAGGACATTTTTGGAAATTTAATACCAAAACACTCCCCTTAAATCTCTTCAAAATCAAAACATCACATGTTTAAAGGGACAGAGGGAGTGTATACCATATTAGTATCACCTTTGCCATCCTAAAATGAGGCTATTAATTAGGAGTAATTTACCTAAATAAAACTAAAACATAATGACTTTCTCAATTAAAAAAATCAAAAAATTATTCATATGACGTGAATTGAATATACTACCTTCGTTCCTGATTATTTGTCGAGAATGTACCACATATAGTGAGGGACAGTACTGCGCTACTTTTTGACAGCGAATGACTGTACTGACTCATCAACTGCCTGACCGTCGGGTGCATGAAATTAAACAGCCGTTAGTTAAGGACGACACCGCGCATTCATATACCTTATAACCAGTGGCTGTCTGAAGCTAGCACAACATATATCTGGTACGTACGTGCACTTAGAATTATAAGTTCAGATTTTAATGCCAATAATTAATAATGAGGGAAGAAAAAGGAACCCATTATGCGTTGTTACTGTTAAGCTAGGCTTTGTTTGTAGTGACACAAAAAAGTGCATGATGAGTTTGAATTATTGGGTGCCAATATATATATATAATCGTGCGTGCGTGCGTGCACAGAAACCAGAGACGGTATATATGAATTTTCATACGTAAAAAGGAGTGAAGTTTTTTTTTAATTTCAAGCTTTCCTATGCTGGTAAAGTGGCAAAGTAAATAAAGAGATTTTCAAGTAAATGGTGCGATGGTGATTCCAAAGGCATGTTGTTCACTGACAAGCCGGCCTTTTATCACCTTTCTTAATTGAGGGTGTCTTTGTTTCGATCTCCTATTTATTCTTACTTCATTCTCCCTCACTTAGAATTCTCCATAGCACTACTTGAGCAAGAAAATTCCAAACTAATTATCAAATATGACAGAAAACCAAGTTCTTCAACTAGTCCCAATGAATGGTCTCATCACTCATCAAACCTCTTCAAGTATTCCACCACTACCAGCAGCAGGATCCAATCCCACTCCTCCTCCTAAGAAAAAGAGAAACCCCCCAGGAAACCCAGGCAAAAAATTAATTAGTTTGAACTTTCGGTTGACTTGGTTTCGTTCCAAATCAAATCATTGAAACAATTACTAATAATTCACTACATATGATAATACAGATCCAGGAGCCGAAGTGGTCGCTCTGTCGCCGAAGTCCCTAATGGCGACGAACCGGTTCGTGTGCGACGTGTGCGGGAAAGGGTTCCAGAGGGACCAGAATCTGCAGCTGCACAGAAGAGGGCACAATCTTCCGTGGAAGCTGATGAGGCAGAGGGGCGGCGGCGGCGGAGGGGGGAGGAGGAAGCGGGCGTACGTGTGCCCGGAGAAGAGCTGCGTCCACCACAGCCCTTCGCGCGCTCTCGGCGACCTCACCGGAATCAAGAAACACTACTGCCGGAAACACGGCGAGAAGAAGTGGGGCTGCGCCAAGTGCTCCAAGCGCTACGCCGTGCAGTCGGATTGGAAAGCCCACTCCAAGACTTGTGGGACTCGGGACTACAAATGTGGCTGCGGCACTCTTTTCACTAGGTAATTAAGACTAATAAGAACTTAATTAATCTTGTTTCTACTCTTTCCTCTCTCATTGACACATACACATATAATGAATAGAAATTCAATCCCAAATTCAAACCTATCATTGAAAATTAATGAATAATTTTAATGGTTGAAAATCAATGAATAATTTTATACCGAGTATTATAAGATGTCTTTTCATGTTGAGTATAAATTTTTGTTTAAATAGAATACCCTGTAGTATGATTCGATTTTCTGAGTTCTATATTAACAAGACTCTCGTATCATGTTTATAATAAACATAGCATAAATAATGTAATTAGTTAAATAATACTCTCTCCGTCCCAAAAAGATTTACATGTTTCAAAAAAATTGCGTCCCACAATCCCTTACCCATTTCTATTAAAAAACACTTTTACCCCTTACTTTTTCAAACCCTACCTATCACGAGGGAGAAATGTTTTATGTGTTTTTTAAAAAATGAAACAGGAAAGGCTTTTTGGGACGGAGGGAGTATGATAGTAGTATTTTATTATTTTTTCGATGTGGAAACTTCATCACTTTTTTTTGAGGCATTTAAATAGGAAAAGTTTTAATTTTTTTGTGAGGTCAGCACTCAGCACAGTTAGATTAGTTAAAGGTCAATAGGCCGGTCATGTTCATAATTAAGATTTGGATAAGATATTTTAAAACACACGGAGTATTTTAATGAAAAAAACGACGTGTTCTTTGGAAATTATGCATGCTTCTATTTACACTTTAAAAAAGTTGTGATTTCAAAGAAATATGTTACCAAGTTATTGCTAGCTAGCTAGATGACATAATGTAAAAGTTAAACTTTGACATTATGTAAAAGTTAAACTCAGAATTAGAACATTTAATTTGAATGTTTCTTTTGTTTGTAAATTTTTAACTTTTGTGTATGGGAATTCCTTATTGGTTTGAGCATGCAGGAAAGATAGCTTCACAACGCATAGGGCGTTTTGTGATGCATTAGCCAAGGAGACAGCCAGACTTTCTGCAGCTTCCAACATGCAAAGCGCCGCCGCCGCGGTGGCTCTATCAGGTGGCCTCAACTGCCGCCACCACATAATGGCAGTGCCGGTCGGTCAAGGCCCACCGCCGCCACATAATGACTACACTAACATGATGATGATGAACTCAATAAGACAATCTGCTGGGCTTCTTCCTCCATTATGGATGGACCCCACAACTTCGCAAGCCCAAGAAATCCAATCATTTGGTTTTCTTCCCTCTTTGTTTTCCATGTCGCCTTCTGCAAACATGTCGGCTACCGCCATGCTGCAGAAGGCGGCGCAGACGGGGCCCACCACAACAAGTGACCTTTCATTGCTAGGGTTGAAGTGTGACAACAACAATAATAATAATTGCCTCCCAATCATCGACCAATTCCAGATTTATCCCTCCAGTCGTCGGTACATCATGCAGAATGAAGTTGTCACCGGAGGGCAAACTAGGGATTTCTTGGGAGTTGGAGTTCAGTCAATGTGCAACGTCCCTTCATCTCTCAATAGATGGATATGACAAATAAAATTTGGTTGTTAATTAAGTTCCAAGATAAGAGGAATTGTTCAAAATCTATTTTGTATGGTTTTTTTTAATAATATTTGCTAGAGTAATATTACCTCCATTCTTGAGTAATTGTTAAGTACTAACCTTTTCAGTTAAAATTAATAACTTTTGACTACTAATTAAATAAAATCAACATTAGACATTGATATATACAAAAATACTTTTATTAGATTTATTTTATAAAATATTTTTAATCTAATTAATATTACTAGTGTCTTACTAGTGTCTTACTCCCTCCACTTTTTAAAACAATTCATTTATTTTCGTTTTCCCAAAAACACTTTCATTCTGTAAAAAATGACTAATATATCTAAATAAAGTCGTTGCAATATATTTCGTTCAATTTGCACTAATATACGGAGTAATATGTTTCTCTTTTTTATTCGATGTTAAGGATATAATTAGAAGGTCAAATTACAAAATTAAATATATCTCAAGTCAAAGTAGAAATTGTTTATAGAAACGGAAGGAGCACTCTATATATACGTCAATTAGTTCTCACCAACAATTATTGTTTGATGTGAAAAATAGTTTGATGATGTCAATCTTAGTGTCAAATTTAATTTTATACTCTGTAATAACATTATTATTTTATCTATTGATGTGAAATGGCTTAAGATTGATGATATATACTCCTTCCGTCCCATGAAACTTTTCTCCTTTCTTTTTTTATCCGTCCCACAAAACATTTCTCATTTCTATAAAAAAATCACTTTTACCCCTTACTTTTTCATACACTAACTATCACATCATACCTTTTTACTAATAATCTATCCATCAAATCATACTTTTACTCATCACATCAAAGGACATTTTTGGAAACTCGATACCAAAATACACTCCCTTAAATCCCTTCTAAAAAGCAAAAGTCCCATGTTTCATGGGACGGAGGGAGTATATTATTTGAAGTTTGTTTGAATTAATAAACGAAAATAAAAATTAAAGTACTCCGGAGTGAAAAAGGAAAAAAAAACTATTGAGCTGACAAGAAAGTGGTGAGGGACGTTGGTGAGATGTGGAAAAAGAGAGGATTTTGGTATTTAGCAAACCTTTACCGGAAAGAAATTAAAGGTGGCATTTTAGTGCATGAAAGAAAGACAAAAGAAAAGTTGTTTGGTCTTTGATAGTAAAAAAAAATGCATGATTAGATACTTTATGCATCCAAGCTAAGCTAAGTGTACAAGACTCGATCACCTAATTAAGAAGCTGAGCTGAGGGAGATCCATGCATAATATTCTGATATCTTGAACCCTTTTCAAAGGTGTACGTTCTCTTCATAAAAAAGTGAAATTTGCACTGAATAGGACTAAAACATAAGTCATTTCCCAATGTAAGACTTAAACTTTTTTATTCCCTAAATAGGACTAAATAATGACCAGTGAGAAGAATAATGTCCAAGTGATACTGAACATTTAGTTGAATAATGACTAATAGATAATGACCAATGGTCCTACATTGGGAAATAAAAACATATGATCCTATATTGAGAAAGTCATTATGTTTTAGTCCTATTTAGGTAAATTACTCAAAAAAAATGGTGGTTTTTTTTGTTCTTAAAAGAGGTGGAGTAGGAGTAGTGGGGGCAAAAAGCAGAGGGTCCTGGCTCCCGTACCTTCTTTTCAACTCCATATGACCATATAGGGAGTATCATTGTTGAGAAATCATATTTGTAAACCAAAAATTATATCCTATTTTGTATTCCAAAGGCATGTACTAACATTTTGTGCTAATGTGATACTTCACAACGAAACAAAATGTCAGTGCAAATTTGTTTGATTGAACTAACATTTTGTGTCAGTGTAAATATTAAAATGTTAGTATATCTCTTCGGGGTATAGAAACTTCTGGTGTACCCTATTACCATGGTTGATAATTGTTGTGTTTCAACTCCACCAAAATTATTGTGAAGAATTAAACTATGTTTACCCCAAAAATTGTAGCCCACTTTGTACCTCGACTGATCACCTAGCCTTTTACAACCGCATGCATAATAAATACCCCTCCCATCCGTCCAACAGTTATGTTCCTGTTGCGCGTGCGTTATTATGATGTTTAACATGAGTTATTTTCAAACCATTTTATATGAAAAATCGTTTGTAATTAAAAAATAAAAATTACATATTTAAAAACTATATAAAAAGATCAACAAACTAGAGATAACATGCATGACTATACTATTTTATCAAATGGACAACGAAAATACGCCAACAATTCAATAAAGTGAATAAAGTTTGACCTTGTGAATAGTGAACGTGAACAAATCTTCAAAACGGAGGGAGTTTCAACTAACGGTTTGGTGCATGAAACCAGGCGTTAGTTAAGGACACCATATCTTCAAACAGCTAATTATGGCTTCATCATCAAGGTCGTACTATACCTTAACCAGTGGCTGAAGGACTAACGTACATGCACTAAGAATTGTAAGTTCAGATTTTGATGCCAATAATAATATAATAATGAGGAAAAAGGAACCCATCCATTATGCTTTGTTAGTTACTGTTAAGGCTTTGTTTCTAGTGCTGCTCTTTGGTGGATGTGAAGTGACACAAAAAAGTGAGTTTGAATTGGGTGCCGGCCAATCGTGCGTGCGTGCACAGAAAGCAGAGATAGGATGGACTATGCTTTAAAAGGAGTGTGAAGTTTTCAAGTTTTTTTTTTGTAGGATAAGAGGTATACTACCATTTCTATACTATCTAAAAATATTTTTTTATTACTCAAACTATATATTCAAAATGGAATCAATTTTGTTCCTATATTCTTTTTTTGTGCAATCAAGTTCTTTCGCTTTTCTCTCATTTACTCTTTGTTTGGACGGGAAGAGAAAATGAGAGGAGAGAAAATAGGAAGAAAGAGAATGAATGAAAAGAAAATGGTGAGAAAATGAAAAGGAAAAAGTTGGTGTTTGATTTGATAGAAAATGGTTAGTGTGAAAAAAGAAAGAAAGCAGTTTCTCACCAAAGAAGGCCAGGTGAGAAAAGTTTTTATGTGGGATTAGGCCCCGTTCCGTTCAACTCATTTTTTCTGCTTTTTTCTTAATCTTATTAAAATCAGATCAGATCAGATCAGATCTAATCAGATCAGATCAGATCAGATCAGAACCAATCAAATCAGATTAGATCAGATCAGAACCGATCAGATCAGATCAGATCCAATCAGATCAGATCTAATCAGATCAGATCAGATCCAATCAGATCAGATCTAATCAGATCCAATCAGATCAGATCCAAATAAGAATTATTATTATTATTATTGTTATTATTATTATTATTACTACTACTACTATTATTATCATTATCAATATCTTTATTACTCCTTACTTTTTAAATTCCATATTTTTTAGTTGTTTCACNACATGAAACTTTTTGTGTGATTATAATTTATGTAGACTAAAATAAATGATATGAAGCACAATTGTTTTCTTAAAAATGAAAAATAATAAACTTTAGAAACAAGCTAAATAGAAACCCGAGAAAGTAATCTTTAATTATTAATGAAAAATGTATTATTTCTTTGCTTAACATTGATAATATAAGGATGTGATCTTTTAATAAAAATATTAATGATTATTAATAACATTGATTATCTATATTAAATAACATTTTAGTGCATATATAAATTAAATAATTATTGTAATGTTTATATAAACTAATTATTAAAATATTAAATCAATATTATTCATTAAAAAAATCATAAAATAAAAAATATTATTACATTATAATATGAATTATTATTCTAATATATGAGATAATTAATTTTGTTTCATTGAAAAATAATCATAAAAAAATATTGATTATATTATAATATGAATTATCATTACAATTTTCAATCAAATCAGAACCAATCAGATCAGATCAGATCAGATCAGAATCAATCAGATCAGATCAGATCAGATCCAATTAGATCAGATCAGATCCAATCAGATCAGATCCAATTAGATCAGATTAGATCCAATCAGATCAGATCAGATTTAATCAGATCAGATCAGATCTAATCAGATCAGATTAGATCAGATCCAATCAGATCAGATCAGATTAGATCAGAACTTATTAAAAGCAGATCAGATCAGAAAAAATAAGTTGAATGGAACGGAGCCTTAATGGTTAAACTTTATTTTCTCATTGTTTTCTTTGCAAACCAAAAAATAATTTTTTTAGAAAATGTGTTTTCTCACCTAAACTTTTTCTTTCTCTCCATTTTCTTACCATCAAAATGGAGTGATATTGCCCCAAAATTTTAATTTAGCGATGATCTCTAATTTTACTATAGATGGCATGAAACTATTGTCTTGGCATATTAAATTATTCTTATTTAAAAAAGTTACTAAGAATAATATACACAAGACAAGTGAAGAGAAGGACCTGATTGAATAAAAATAGCACAAGGACGACTAAATTGATTTGATTTTGAGTACATGGACTAATTATAACATTTTTAGATAGTACATGGACCTTTACAGTACTTTGTCTCTTTTTTGTGTTGCTGGTGAGTAGGGGTGGGCATTCGGGTCCAGGAACCGCGGGTCGGAACCGAACCACCAGGTTCGGGCCGAGTTAGGTCCGGGTCGTCTTTTCAAAAATTTAAAACGGTCCGGGTCGGTCCGGTTTCTATATATTTTAGGGTCGGTCCGGTTCCTCATTTTGAAAATTTTTGGGACCCGGACCGGACCGTTTTTTAAATACTAATATTATTTTTAATATTTTTTTAGTAAATATACGGTATATCCTCCTATCACATTAATTTTAGTAACTCTTTTGGTCCTTCCATATTCCAATCACAGTGCAGAACCGCAGAAGTGCATAAGTCATGTTCAATAAATGAAGCTAATTTCCACTGATTTGAAAAAAACTGTATTATTGGATCAAAAGTCATTTGCATATTTTTGTGTGTAGAATATGGTTGATTTTAAAATTTTGTTTTTTGCAGGTTTTTTGGATTTTTTGGAAGCCATGAAAATTGTCAATTTTGCTCTTTTTGAAACCTATTGACATTATAATGCCAAAATGTGGTTGTCTTCTTTTTGTTGTTGTTGTTGGATGATCATGGGGTGTACACTTTACTCTCATGCCCCTTTTTGTCATTGTTTTTTTTCATTTATTCCTCTTTTTTGAACTTTGAAGGCATTATTCTATAATTTCTATTTGTTTTAAAGAATGTTAGTATTATGACAGGTTCGGACCCGTTGACCCGTAGAATCGGCCCGTTTCAAACAAGCCGGGTTAGATCCGGTTCCAATTTTAAAATTTTGAAAACCCGTTCCGGCCCAGACCGTTTTAATAAAAACAAGCCGAGTCCGGTTTATATAAATTTGGACTCGGACCGGCCCGTGCCCACCCCTACTGGTGAGTAAATGATGAGGTTTAGAACTCGAGACCTAAGAGACTAGGTAGAAGAATATCAAACAAGGGCTGAGTGCCTTTCGGTCACAAAAGTAGAGTAATACATTTGCTTAGTAGTAAAAATGTGAATGTGCCTTCCCTTCTTCAGGGGAGGGGTGGTATTTATACCATGCATTTTCCATGTGTGTGCTTTCTAGCCGTTTGTCTAGGACATAGCCTGGTGGGCTGGTGATACCAAGTTGGTATCGTTAGGCCGGCTGAAACCACTGTGGCTCGGGGAGAGGAGAACCGGCGGCAAAGCTTGGGAGAGGGAGAAGGCCGAAACCTTTAGGGTTTCGTGTAGAGAGGGAGAGTTTAGAGAGAGAGAGAGTTTAGGGAGTAGGGAACTTCTTTATTGATGATTATGCATGAGGTGTAAATACCCCTTATATAGAAAAGAGTTTCCCAATCCTAGTAAGTCTACGTTCTCTATCCTGTCGGTTCAAAAAAAGCGACGAGGTAAAGAACCGAAAAGAAACCCTCGAAGGAGCTTATAATTACGCTCACCTAGGAAAATCTAAATACAATAATTAAAAGAAGATAATGATGGAAAATAATTAAACATAATCTTGATACTTTCTTGGCGGGCGAACAGCCTTCTTTGGACGACCCGGTGCAGCTGGGACGGACGGGTCGTGGTCTTCATCGTCAGGTGGTACACCGGGATTGAGGACCGTATCAACTCCCCCGGGGTTAGGAATCACCTTGTCCTCAAGGCGAAGATCGGGGAAATGGCGCAAAAGATCTTCCAACGGTTCCCAGGTGGCATCGGCATCGGAACCATCCGATCAACGGACTAACCACTGCTCCTGGGCGAGTCCATCAACCAGTACAGTGCGACTGTCCACTGCGGCCACGGGGACAGAGAGCGGCCGTCCTTTGTAGAAGGCATCGGGAAGAGGGGTCGGTGGTGGCAAGGAGTCACGTGGCACAAAAAGCTTGAGTAGTGACACGTGAAACACATCGTGGATTTGGCACCCTTCTGGCAAATGAAGTCGGTAAGCAACTTCCCCAATGCGTTCTAAAATCTCGAACGGGCCATAGTATCTTCGGGCAAGCTTGACGGAAACTGGACGAGCCAAAGAATGCTGCCGATACGGGTGCAAACGGAGAAGGACCATGTCTCCAACATTGAATGATAGGTCACGGCGGTGTCGGTTGGCCTGTACCCGCATGCGCTGTTGCATGTGGGAGAGGTGGGTTTTAAGATCTGTGAGCAACTCGGCGCGTTCCTACAATATTTCCTCGACGGCGGGTACCCGGGAGCGGACGGACATGGTGGGAAACAAGGACGGGGGCGGCCGACCGTAGAGAGCTTGGAATGGTGAGGTGCCCAGCCCTTCATTGATGCTGCAGTTTAACGCCAATTCAGCCCAGACAAGGAAGGACGACCAGCGGGTGGGGCGTTCATGGGCAAAGGCGCGCAGGTACTGTTCAAGGCTGCGATTAAGGACCTCGGTCTGGCCGTCGGTTTGGGGATGGTAGGCCGTGCTGAATTTCAGTGAGGACCCGCTTAAACGCATCAGTTCCCGCCAGAAGGTACTCATAAAAATCGAGTCGCGATCCGAAACAATGGAGCTGGGAAACCCGTGGTGCTTTACCACAACGTCAAGGAATAGTTGAGCTACCTTTGGGGCATCGAAGCCGGCGGCCAGAGACCCGAAATGTGCGTATTTGGTGAGACGATCAACTACCACCATAATAACTGAAAACCCACGCGACAACGGCAAGCCGGTGATAAAATCCATGGAGGCGGACTCTCACACCTGATCTGGGATGGGCAGGGGCTGAAGCAACCCCGCGGGCTTGCGGGTGGAGTATTTTGTCATCTGGAAGACCTCACACGAAGCCACAAAACGGCGGACATCTTCCCGCATGCCTGGCCAATAAAACCCGTCGGCCAGTCGCCTGAATGTGCGTTCCACGCCTTGATGCCCGGCCAACGGAGTGGCGTGATACTCGTGTAGGAGCTGCTGCCGAATGGGGGAGGCCGCACTAAGAACTAGCCGGCGTTTGAAGTAGAGCAGGCCGTGGTGTACTGAGAAGTGGGGAGGGGCTGTCCCGACGGTAATGGCGGCATGCAATTCCAGTAGGTCGGCTGCTGTAGTGTTTTCATGTTGAATATCCTGGAGTAGAGAAGGGAACGGCCGAGCATAGGTGGAGAAGAGGGCAGCGACCTGGGGATCCTCCTCTCGGCGGGAGAGAGCATCGGCGGCCCGGTTTGACGCTCCTGTCTTATATTCGATACGGAACTTGTAGCCCATTAGTTTACGCACATAAAATTGTTGATCCGGGGTTTGGATGACTTGGGAGAACAACTCCTTGAGACTACGTTGATCGCTGCGGATGACAAACTCGCGGCCCAAGAGGTATTGGCGCCACTTTTGGACCGCCTCCACAATGGCGTACAATTCCTTGTGGTATGTGGAAGCCACCCGTCGCCGCGGTCCAAGTTTCTTGCTGAAGAACGCGAGGGGATGGCCTTGCTGGAGGAGGACGGCGCCCACCCTGTGTCAGAGGCATCGGTCTCCAAATAAAAAGTGTGGGAAAAATCCGGGAGACGTAGCACTGGTGCCGTAGTCATAGCTGTTTTGAGGCGCTCGAAGCTTTCCTGAGCTGCCGGCGACCAGATGAAATTGTCCTTTTTCAAAAGGTCGGTTAAGGGCGCGGCTAGCATGGCGTATCCGGCAATAAACCGGCGATAAACTGGCGATAAACCGGCGATAAACTGGCGATAGTACCCCGTGAGACCGAGAAATCCCCGAAGGTGTTTGATGGTAGTGGGTTTCGGCCAGTAAACTCCATGGTCATTTTGGCCGTGATAACATGCCCCAAATAATTGACGGTGGATTGGCAAAAGGAGCACTTACTTAGCTTGAGGAAGAAGGTATGCGCTGCCAAAGTGTCCAAAACCGTGGCCAGATGGGCGATGTGCTCGTCCATGGTTGAGCTATAAACCAATATATCGTCAAAAAAGACGATGACAAACCGTCGAAGAAAGGCCCGGAAGATGCTGTTCATAGCCGCTTGAAATGTAGACGGCGCGTTGCACAAGCCAAAGGGCATCACGAGAAACTCCCAATGACCGTCATGCGTGCGGAAGGCCGTTTTGTATGTGTCGGAAGTGTGCATCCTGATTTGGTGGTAGCCGGAGCGGAGGTCCAGCTTGGTGAACACCCGGGCAGTCCCCAATTCGTCAAAGAGCTCGTCGGCGGTGGGAATTGGAAAGTTGTCCGGAACCGTGGCGGCGTTCAAGGCGCGATAGTCCACGCAGAAACGGAAGGTCCCGTCCTTCTTGCGGACTAACAGGACAGGAGACGAGAACGTGCTGTGGCTTGGTTGAATGATACCCTGCTGGAGCATGTCACGAATTTGGCGCTCGATCTCTGATTTTTGGAAGTACGGGTACCGGTAAGGCCGCACATTGATTGGCTTGGAGTTGGCGGCTAGGTGAATCTGATGGTCCCAATCCCGCGACGGGGGTAGCCCCGTGGGTTGGCTAAAAATCGCCAGTCGGTCCCGAAGTAGGTGGCTGATCGGAGTGGGGATGTCCGTGGGCAGATCGGTAGAAGCATCCACTGCCGGCGAAGGGGTGGTGGGCACCAGTTCATACAAATCCACCGTAGTGTGGGCACCAACAAGGGAGCAAAATTGGCTATAGGAGATCGGGCGTGGGCCTGGAACATCGCCGCACAGCGTGATAGTCGATCCCTGCCAAGTAAACTCCATGGTCATTTTGGCGTAATCATGAGTTACTTTCCCCAGCGTTTGAAGCCACTGAACGCCTAAGACAATATCCGGGCCATGGATATCTAGGAGGTAGAGATCAATACTGAAGAGGTTGCCTTGGAGGAGGAGAGGCGTCTGCGGACAGGAATACGAGCAGCAGAGAGAGTCACCGTGGCCCACATATACACGGAACGGGGTGACCGGATGAAGAACCAATGCCAAACGTTCCGCCACGCTAGGATGGATGAAGTTATGCGTGCTCCCACTATCCAAGAGTACCTGTACGGCGTTATTGTGGACTGATCCGGCCACTTTGAGCGAACGGGGGCTCGGGCTACCGGCAAGGGAGAGGATGCTAGAGATATCACAGGAGAGCAGAGGAGTATTGTCCTCGTCTGGGAGCGGACTGGTTATGGCAGTGGCGTCGTCGTCGTCCTCGGGGCCCATGAGAACGAGAAATCGTCGTCGACAATTATGGCTGGCATCCCATTTTTCATCACAATACCAACAGAGCCCTTTCTTTGAACGTTCGGTCTTCTCGGCGTTGGTCACACGAACCACGGGCAACCGGGAAATTGGGGACTTATCCGGGGGCCGAGGAGGAGGGGCGGTACTGGCGCTGCCCGACCCAGGTGTGGGCAAGAGGCCGGCTGAAGTGGAGGAGCACCAATTGATACGAATATCGTACTGGGATAAGGAAGGATTTCGAGCACCTTCGAGCTCCAAGAACAGAAGAGGCGAGAAAGAGAGAAATATTAGGGTTTAGGAGAAATATTTCTTTATTGATTGATTAATAATTTTATGAGTAATGGCTACATATATAGATGGTGGATCTAGAGAATCTTAACCATACAAGGTAACTAAATAAACCATAACACTAATAACCTAATATAATTATACTTCCTAATTATAATATAATTACCTATCCATAAATAATAAAACTACTTATAATAATGATAGTAATATAATAATAATGATAAATAACTAAATATAGTCCTGTATCAGCTGGGCCCACCGGAAGCATGCCTTTTGAATGACAATACAAGAACTATGATTACAAATAAGGCGACTACAAATAGGGTGATTACAACTAATGTACAAACAATCGTATCACAGATGTCTTAGTGTGGGCCCATTTGATTAGACAGGGCATACAGGCTCCCACGCTCGTAGTAGGTCCACAGTGCTTTGCTGGCGGCAGAGGCCAAGTACAAAATTAAAGCCGAGTGCACAGGCTCTGCCATTGGAAGTCAACCGAGTAAGGATTTGACCAGGTCCACCCCAGGGTCCGAGTGGATTTAACTGGACTGAGTAGGAGCGCATGTCCGAGCAGGGCGTATTTGGCCGAGCGCGTCCGATTCCTGCTATTAGATGGGCCTTGTTGGGCCGCTTATTTTTTTGGGCTAGATACCACCCAGTCCAGGGTATCCATTAGTTAATAAAGAGATTAATTATGGACATCCCATTCAATTCCAAGCCTGGGCAGCAACAACTCGTATTTACTCTCTTCATCCCAATCATTTTATCCACTTTAATTACTTTTGTCACAAAGACTATTTAAAGGAATTAAATGGCCAAATTACATTTTGTTGATAATAGGAAACCATATTATTATTTAATTATTTTCCTAATTTTATTGTTTTTATATTTGTTATTTTACTATGATTGAAATTTTCTCTTGTAATCGCTATATATAGAGATGGAGCTTTCATTATTCAACAAGACTATTTATTATCAAATTGTGTTGTGGTATCAGAGCAAAGATATATTTTCTCCGCCACGAAACCTATTTTTTAACGGCCCTGTGGCATGCCATGCCGATCAACCGCCCGACTCATTGTTTGAAAAAACAAGAGGGATGATATATAACCCTACAAAGCAGTGTTAGAGAGTCGGCAAAGGAAGAACATGAAGAATGACTTGATAGACTTAGCGAATCACGCATAAACGCTTTCAAATTAAAGTTATTTTGGGATATACCAAAATAATTTAATCAAATAAGACGTAACGAAACTAATCTAAAATGAGTATGGAAGTTCTAGTTTCTCGAAACATACTCTTGTCCTTGTATTTATAGGCAAATTTTTGAATAGACATGTTGATTGGTTGATAAGCAACGCAGCTTTTAACGTAGTATTCGAATGCTAGTACTCAAACATTCGAATGTTTATGGCAGATAACGAAAAATGGTTATTTCTGTAGTTTGTGTGAATTGTTATAATTATCGAGAAATATTCGAATGCATTGTTTTATACATTCAAATGTACATTAGTTTGAACTCCACTTACGAAGATCCAAAGGATTTTCATAAAACAACTATGTCCAAAATAAATATTTTCCCAGCTATCCCGGTAGCTTGACCCCGACCAGGGGCTACCACCCATTGGTCTCCACTACCGAAGATTGCTTCCCCAAACCACCTCTATGGAATTTGTAGTTTTGTTGAACGAGTGTGCACTCCGCACTTTCAAACTCGTTAACAACTTCTATTAAAATTCTTGTCCATTTTAAGCAAATCCAATTACGTTTGAATTTTCATCTTAGTATATAGCACATTCCAAATATTCGAATATTGGCCGGGGTGTCAGCACTAAGGATTGAAGCCTTTCTATTCATGTGAATATATGAAGATAATACACACAAGTTCCACATACTCCTTTGTCTTAAACTTGACACAATGTTTTGCTAGCCTTATACTTCTATCCTTGAATGAGTAAATAAAAATCAAGTCCAAGCTTTGTGAAGTGGCTAAACTTCATACTCATATAGGTAATTCTTTTATGTCTTTTACTTGCGTATACAATTTTAAAAATAATCATTAAGAAGATATACTTCAACCTCTTAAACTCGCAAATCTCAACACATACCTTAATTGGGACATTGTTGCTAATGTGTTCCAATCTTTAAATGTTAAGCTTTATTTCCACATTGAATTCAGTACCTAAGGTCGTATTAGGTCGAAATTGGGTATCTTAACATGAGAGACTTCATATGGACTTTAATCTCATCCTAATAGTCAATTTATACGTGAGATCTTTTCTTAACCCTTTGGTTAAGTGATCGGCTAGACTGTGTTGAGTTCTAATGACCTATATCGATATCACACCATATCTGATTAAATTACAAATCATGATTTGTCTAAAATGTATGTGTCTAGACTTACCATTGTAAACTTGGATATATGCCTTAGCCAATGTAGTAGTGTTGTCGCATCTTATAGATATTAGTGATATCAGTTTAGGCCACGACGAAATTTCATATACCAAGTTTCTAATACAACAAACTTTGATTTTATTCCTGACATTGTTGTTGGAATGCATGAGTTCAACCCTTTCTGTGTTGTTAAGTGTTGACTCACAGGTTTTGATAATTGACAAACCCAATTTATTCAAGTCAAGATCAAAGTGCTACAACGACAAACACGAAGACTTGAAGTGCCATTCCTTGAAATATTCAAGAAGGTGCACAAGATTTTTTGGAGTCCGAGATGCGTTCGGAGCGCCTAACGGAGGACTCGGAGGAGTAGAAGATTTCCGAAGACTTTTTATTTATTTGAGTCGTAGGAACATTTGTAAGGATGACAAAAATATCTTCTCTCCAAAATTATTTTTATGAGAGTTAAAATAAAAATTATATTTATTTTTAGAGTCAGTTGAAAAATCTTTTTAACTGTTCAAAATAGTTTTATTGAGTCAGTCACAAAAGGTGTGCCAAACATTTATCAAATATTTATTTTGATAAAATAAAATATTTTTGGTAAGCAAAAATATTTTATTCAAATATTTTTCGTGTACATCGTTTGACACACAAAATATTTTTGGGACTCAATTTCTACACCAAAATTCTTTAATTAATTCAAATTTTGAATTTGAATTAATTCTTTTAAACTTACTTGGTTTGTTTGTTTTTGGGAGCCTTATAATGTTGTTATCTTGTCCTAAACAAAGCATTAAGCTCCAATTTGTACATCCCACTTGCACACATGTTTTGGGTCCTCGTGTTTGGGCTCTGTCCGTCAGTGGATCGATCCTTCCTTGTGGATCGATCACTTCGTTTTGTGCTCAGGGATTTGGATCGATCCATTTCCTTGGATCGATCCGCCGAAGCCGTGCAAAAATTCTCTTCCAGAATTCTTGACTCCTTTGGATCGATCCCTTGCCTTGGATCGATCCCCCGAAGCTTTGAGAGTAACTCATTTTCGATCCATTACTCCAGGTGATCGATCCTCTCCCCTTGGATCGATCCCCAACGGCTTTTTTCTGTCAACTTCAGCCTTCCCCACTTCCAACGGATTTATTTCTTCACCTCCTATTTAAACACTCTTCCTTGGTCATTTTTCTTAAGAACAAGCACTCCTAAACTCCCATATCTTGAGGTTATAATCCTCCATTCATCTCTTCCTCAAATTGATATATTTTGAGAGAAAACATTTGTTTTTAAAAGAGTGTTTTGTCATCCATTAGAGCTTTAATCATTTCTCTTATCTACTCTTTTGAGAGCTATTGTTGAGAGGTTGAAGAAGATTGTTCTTCTTGTTGTTCAAGACTTATGTGACTTAAGTCTTGGTTGTAAAGTCTTGTAGAGGGCATATCTACGAGCGGTTGTGTCGAGGCTTGTGGGATTCAAGTTCTCGAGTTGTA